AGAAGGGAGGCACAGACACAGGTGACCACTGTGGTTCTCTAGCGTACAGCTTTTTTGTTCTGGGACACTACCACCACAAAATTTATCCCTCTTGTCATACTTATTAAATTTTAAAATTTTTTCGTTTTTCTTCCTTTTTTGTTTTTTTTGTTTTTGTTTTTTTGTTTTAGAGCAGTAGTTTTTAACATTCACCAGCTGGTCAAACTCTATATTTAATAATCAAACTACTGAATCTCCTAGTCCCTTCAAATCTGAGGAAGATTTGAAAATAAGAAAAATCTGGTATGAATGCATTTTTTTGTCTTGTGTTGCTTTTTGCTGTGCTGGAGATCAAATCCACTTGCACGCTTGACAAGGGCTCTACTAGGCAGCCACAGCCCAGGCAGAAACGCATTTTCAGTGTATCTTTAGTTGCATCAAATAATAACCCAAACGGAGAGTCCAGACATGATGGAGCTCTCTGACTAAAAGGTTTTGTGAGAGAATAGCTATGATACTTTATAGTAAGTAAAAATAAAATTAGGGTGTTTAGGTATGCTTTTGCTATATAATCATATTCAGAACAACAACAACAAAAAGAAAAATTGCTGAAATGAAAAGCACAAAGAAAAATATTAAGTATTATGGGTTCTGCTAATGATGGCTAGCGCGCAGAGTAGTGACCACTTACCAAATACTGATTTTACTGTATTTTAATCTATCAAGGATTCATTTTATAAAAGGATACACAGAGTGCTATTTAACTCTAAAAGTAATTTTTTCATGCCAAAAACACAGAAAAATGTCTTTCTCTATAGTCTGCCACGTGTTTTTTACAAGGGAGAAGGAAGGCCAAAGAGAGGTACCATACCTAGTCTACTCTGAGAGGCAAGATAGAACTGTATTGTGTATCTCTAAAACAATTTGCAATTAGTCTGCAGGAGAATGTTATGTACAGTCCGGTTCCCAGGAAGGGAGCTGGACATTTTTTAAATGTGGTATGATAATATTTATTTAGTTTTATATTTGTTTATAATATTTTATAAATA